CAGTANATGGAAGAGTGCGGAGGCATACATAGAGTAACAATCTTTGCTTCTGTGCAGTATTGCTGGAAGTTGACTGAGTTGTGGCTCTCATGACCGTCTAGAATGAGTAGGCGATAGGCTCCAACAGTACGCTCTTTTGTATGCCTGTTATAGTGCTCTAGCCACTTCATACTGAGCTCGTTTGTTGTCCAGCCATTCTCAGAGACTGCGAGAACCCAATCCCTAGGCAGGCTGTCTTCCTTGTACCAGGCAGAGAGGTGGTGCTTGCCCTGAAAGATGATGAAGGGTGGGATCGCCCAGCCAGCTGCGCTGACACAAACCACGCTGGTAACCCACTCTTTATTGCCCTGCTGCAGAGATTTTGGCTTTGATCGACGATCAGAGGCTGTGACTACTGCTGACGAGTTGTGCATGCCCATCATAAAGCCCGTCTCGTCAAAATTGTACATGTCGTCGTCCTGGATCCCATACTTGGCTTTGGTATTCTGTACAAGGCGGAACCAGCCCTGCACAAGCTCAGGATCTTCACAGAGGGCTCTCTTGTAGTCGTACTTTCGATTAAACTTCATCTTAAGCTCTGGGCGACGCTTTATGAATGCTTTAGGCCAGTTAGGGCCAACAGGGTCGCGGTGGCGGGCAGCCAGCAAAGAATCAGCTAGATCTTTGACAGCAGAAAGGCGCAGCGGAAATCCTCTTGCATCAAGATCAAGAATATTCTTGACAATCACCTCCTCTTCTGTTATAAGTAGTTTCATTGAGTTGGGCGAACAATCTTGTCGAGAAGGCTTTCCTGCGAGTCTTCGTCTTAGGGTACGTTCAGGCACGTTGTAGAGAGCTGCAGCGCGTGGAATGTTAATTGTCGCGTCGCATTTAATAGCCTGAATTGCAAGCTGTACTTGAGACTCTTTTGAAGACTTTTTTGAATGAATTTGTTGAGACATCGCGAGTAGTAGTGAAAGTTGATGGGGGCTTGGCATTTTCGGTCACTCGCTATTCTCGGCCACTCGCTATACTTTGACGTTATCTGTTTTCATAAAAACAAAGTCTGGCCCTAATCCTACAAGCAATCGCTATCTAGGTATTCGCGGAATCTGCCCTTTTTTTGGCCATTGTTCTTCAACGGCTGTTATCGGGAGACTCAGGTCTATGGGGTAATCGTCAGTGAGTGGACACAAAGCAACCCCCCTGTATGCCCCCATGAATTTTTTTTCAATACCCCCATGTAGCAAGGATACGAAGTAGGTGGAGAAGATGTACACGGTGAAAAATACAAGCGCTCCACAGGCGCTACATGCAAAGAGCTCGGAAAGGCAGCTTTGATGTTGTATTATCAATTACCTTTGGGGTTTGTTTTGCTTTTTTTTATTCACAAACGGGGCTTGCTTGTTCCGCTCAATGATGTACTCACCGACTTGTTCTTGAGATCGTAACGGTCGTTGTTCATGATCTTCTCCCAGCCGGCAACAAAGTCCTTCACAAACTTGCTCTCGCTTTCGGGCAGAGCATAAGTCTCGGCAATGGCACGGAGCTCAGGGTGGTGACCAAAGACGAGGTCGTGACGCGTGGCGGTCCACTTCTTCTGGCCAGACTTGCGGTCGACACCCTCGTAGACCTCTTTGCTAGCATCGGTTGCCTTCCATTCCGTGTTGTTGTCGAGGAGGTTGAGGAAGAAGTCGTTGGTGAGTTGGCCAGGGCGCTTGGTGAAGATTCCGTGCGAGGAGCCGTCCCAGTTGGCATTGAGCGCACGCAGTCCACCCGTGAGCACCACCATCTCGGGTGCAGTGAGGCGGAGGAGGTGGGCCTTGTCAACATCGAGTTGCTCGGTGCGGACACGCTCAGTTCCCTTGCCGTAGTTACGGAAACCATCTGTGACAGGCTCCAGGTGCTCGAAAGACTGCACGTCGGTCTGCTCCTGGGTAGCGTCGGTGCGACCCGGTGCAAAAGGAACAGGTACACCAGCAGCCTTCTCAACGGCAGCGGTACCGGCAAGGACAATCAGGTCAGCAAGAGAAACCTTCTTGCTGCCGCTGTTGAACTTGGACTGAATGCCCTCGAGAGCCTTGAGAACCTCGGCAAGCTCCTTGGGGTTGTTGACCTCCCAGTCCTTCTGAGGAGCAAGACGAATGCGAGCACCGTTGGCACCACCACGCTTGTCGCTACCACGGAAAGAGGCAGCGGAAGCCCAGGCAGTGCGGATGAGCTTGGCGGGCTCGATGCCAGCATCGAGAATCTGCTTCTTCAGAGTCTGGATCTCGGCATCGCCGATAATCTCACCCTCGGGTTGAGGGACAGGGTCCTCCCAGAGAAGAATCTCCTTGGGGATCTCGGGGCCGAGCCACCTGGAGCGGGGGCCCATGTCACGGTGGAGAAGCTTGAACCAAGCACGGACAAAGGCGTCGTGAAGCTCCTCGGGGTGCTCTAGCCAACGACGGGTAATCTTCTCGTAGGCAGGGTCCATACGCATCGACAAGTCGGTGGTAAGCATCCTGGGCTTGTGCTTCTTGTTGGCGTCATAGGCGTCGGGAATGATGTGCTCGTCGGTCTTGGCAACCCATTGGTTGGCACCAGCAGGGCTCTTCTCCAGCTCCCACTCAAACTTGTACAGGTACTCGAGGTACTTGTTGCTCCACTTGGTGGGTGTGCCGGTCCAAGTCACCTCGAGACCACTGGTAATGGTGTCTGGGCCGTTGCCGCGGCCGTGCTTGTTGATCCAGCCGAATCCCTGAGTTGCCAGGTCTTCGGCGTTGGGGTCTGGGCCGGTGTTCTCAGCGGGGGCAGCACCGTGTGTCTTTCCAAACGTGTGACCACCGACAATGAGTGCAGCGGTTTCCTCGTCGCTCATAGCCATGCGACCAAAGGTTGTGCGGATGTCGTGGGCGGCGGCGACGGGGTCGGGAACACCCTCGGGACCTGACAGCGTTAGTGATGGGCATTGTGGGAAGAGCGTAAAAGGCACTCACCCTCTGGGTTCACGTAGATGAGACCCATGTGCGCGGCGGCCAAGGGCTGCTCAAGGTTCCTCGATGTGTGGGGGCTCTTCGAGTCAACCTTGTGCTGCTCGCCATCGACGACGCCCTGGCCCTTGACGCCCTTTGCGCCATCGGCATAGCGGACGTCGCTACCAAGCCACTCGGTCTCGCCTCCCCAGTAGACAGACTCGTCTGACTGGAAGGTGTCGGCGCGTCCACCAGCGAAACCAAAGGTGGGGCAGCCCATGGACTCGATGGCGACGTTGCCGACGAGAAGCAGCAGGTCGGCCCACGAGATCTTGTTGCCGTACTTTTGCTTGATGGGCCAGAGCAGGCGGCGGGCCTTGTCGAGAGAGACATTGTCGGGCCAGGCATTGAGGGGAGCAAATCGGTTCTGTCCCTCGCCGCCGCCGCCACGGCCGTCAGTGACACGGTAAGTGCCAGCACAGTGCCATGCCAATCGGATGCTGTGCAGGCGTTAGCCATGAAGGGCGGGGGAGCCAAGCGGGGGGAGGGGGAGGGGGAGGGGGAGGGGTAAACGAACAAAAGACCGCCGTAGTGGCCAAAGTCGGCAGGCCACCAGTCCTGCGAGTCGGTCATCAGGGCAGTGAGGTCCTTCTTGAGGCCCTCATAGTCGAGCTTCTTGAACTCCTCGGCGTAGTTGAAGTCGGGGCCGAGGGGGTTCTGTCTGGGGTCATGCTGGCGCAGGATGTTTACCCTGAGCTCGTTTGGCCACCAGTCTGTGTTCCTCGTGCCGGCACCAGCGACATTGGGCACCTTGACGGGACACTCGCCTTTGGACATGATGGATGGATGCAGTCGTGTGTTGTGGGAGGGGAGGAGGATGGGGCGTCGAGCTGCAGAGAGGCGTCTGGCAGGGCGGTATTTGGGGCCTATAAGTAGCGGGGCATTCATAAGCATCTGTTCTGGCCAACACCAACATGACACCAGCGCCAGCCAGCACCTGCCTCCCCTCTCGCCGCGTCGCAGGTGGGTCCGCATATGGTAGCCCGATGCAGCCTAGCGCCGTGCTCGCTGGGTCGACCCCACCATCCATGCCAATCCAGTGCCACCGCGTCTGGTCGTCGACAGCCTCGGGCGGGCACTCCCATGTGCGCCCTCAATGCGCTGCCTGCTGGCATTGCATGCACCGTGCTGCATTCTCCCGTCCGCGCTGGCCATCCATTGCTGCGGCGACGCCTGCGAGCAAAGAGACAGCGCGCAACGGCGTGTGGGCGCGGAGACCCCGCTTTGGCCACCGGAACCGCAGCGCACTATGCTCGCGATTGCATATGTAAAGGCGTTGCGCTGATTGGGCGACGCGACCTCACGTGACATGGGTCGACACCGAGGCTCCATGCAGCCATGGCGGCAGTTGGCGGCGGCGAGGGCTGGACAGAGAGGCCAGACACTGCATTTGAGTAAGCGTCCCAGGTCTGCGCGCTTTTCCGCCGTCAGATGCTTACTCCAGCAGCCCCGGGTCCCGAAAGGTGCTTGTTGCTAGATGCTTCGGCGCCATCGACATGTGGCCATGCCTGCGGGTGCTCGTACCGCGCGCCTTTGCCGCCAAAAATGTCCAAGAAAAACTTGTAGCCATGTCACAGCACACTGTACTCGACAGCCTTGGCACATCACTCACCTCGCTGTCTGCATTGCCACCGACTGCCGCCTGGCTCGCTGCATGGCGCATGGCGCATGGCTGGCTAATAACCCCCAGCTTATGCCCGTCAACCCCACGGCCATCACCCCGCATGGCGCCTCAGCACGGGGCCTGGTATGGGGAAGCTCGCCGCCTTGCCCATCGCCCCTAATCCCCAGCAACTGCCGCCACATGTCTTACTCGACGCTTGCGGCCAGTCCCCCAACTGCCGCTTCCAACCTGTGGTGCTGCCAAAAGTCGCCTCGCCTCTGTCGCGACCATGACCAATCCGTGTTTCAGGGGCTTGCCGCCTTCAAAAGGCCCGGCTCTGCTGTGCTGGGCGTTTGACATGCTCTTGGAGAAGCCATGGGGCTGGGGGTTGATCGAGCAAGTGGGGCAGTGGCTGTCTGAGCAACCTACTTATTTAATCCTCTGGCAGAGGGCTGCTTTTCTGAGACAGTCGCAGTCGTCCCCGAATTTTTCCCTATTCCGTCTTACACCCGGTGCAACATGGCAGACGAGAAAGTGGCTGTTTTTGAAATTCCAAAGACGTGCAAAGGCGGCGTCGTGGTGAATGAAGGCCCCGACTTCTATGTAGAGGTGCAGGATCTCCCAGTCCCCGAGTGTGGTGAGTATCCAACAAGGCGCATTGCATGCCGTATGTACGCTGACATGGTCGGATAGGGCCCCACGATGTCTTGATCAAGCTCAATGCAACCGGAATCTGCCATACCGACATCCACTTCATGTCCAATGAATTGGATCTGCCCAAAATGTCCGTCTTTGGTACGAGATGTCCTGGACACGAAGGCGCGGGCGTCATTGTCAAAGTTGGCGACGAGGTCAAAACCTTGAAGCCCGGCATGCGGGCAGGCTACAAGGTAAGCGGACCGAGGTCGCGGCAGCGCCGTGCAATCTGACATGCTGCAGCCGATCCAGGATACTTGTGGTGCATGTGAACACTGTCGTCGCGGCGACGAGAGCTACTGCGTCAAAGCTGTGATAACGGGCTTGATGATCGAAGGCTCGTACAAGCAGTACGTAGTCTCGCCCGAAAGATACACGACGGTGATTCCCGACGGCGTCGACGACTACATTGCAGGGCCCCTCATGTGCTCTGCCTCGACTATCTACACCTCCATCAGAGAATCAAAACTGCAGCCAGGCGACTGGGCAGTTTTCCCCGGCGCCGGCGGCGGTGTCGGGCTGCAAGGCCTGCAACTGGCCAAGGCCATGGGCCTGCGGTCTGTAGCCGTTGACACGGGCGGCGAGAAGAAGAAGCTGTGCTTGGAAGTCGGAGGCGCCGAGCATTTCATCGACTTCAGAGAGGTGCAAAACGTCACCGATAAGGTAGTGCAGCTATGCGACGGCATCGGCGCACACGGCGTCTTTGTCACTGCCGTCCAGGCGTATCCGTCGTCGCTATCCTATCTGGGTGGCCGCGTTGGCGGCAAGGTCATGTGTATCGGAATGCCCCCGGCCGGCACTCTGCACATCGACGTCGACCCAAACCGCATGTGCAACAGGAAACAGAGCATAACAGGCACGCTTGTGAGCAGCATGGCAGACGTGGACAAGACGCTCGAGTTTGCCCAGCGGGGACTGCTGAAGCCCATCTACACGGTGCATCCTCTGAGCCAGTTCAACGAAGCGGTGCAGAAGCTGCAACGGGGGGAGATTGCTGGACGGGCTGTCATCGACTTCAACCAGGCGTAGAGGCGCGTCGTTTGTAATGCAGTAGACTAGGGTTTTGACGTGTCTCTTCGCCGTGCAAATAGATGCAGAGTGAATGGTATCGCACAAGTCAGGGTGCCGTGACATGTTCCAAGCCACGGTGCACAGACCACTTCTTGTTCACTGCCTCCCGTGCCGTTGCGGCTCAGCCCTACTGCATGGCCAGGTACAACAATTCCCACTGCCTTTGCTCACCCTCCCCCCGTAATGATCGCTTGAGCTATGCGCATCAGCCTCCACAAGAGCATATGTCGAGGGCATGTCCAGCTCTTCGCACAGTCGGTCCCCAACCGGACACGTCAACACTCCGCCCAGCCGCGCATCCAACGGCAAGCAGCCAGCCGTGGAACATGACTACGACGACGACGACGAGGCGCTGCTGGCCGACGATCCGCTAGAGCACGACCTACCTGAGCAGTACGCGCGCCCGCCACCGTCGCTTAACTTCTGATACTGAACACCACCCCCTTCCAGACTATCCTTCAAACGCAGGCCAAAAGCTCCCGCGCCGTCCTTTGGCTTCTCACGATACCTCGCCTCCCCGCTTACGCCTTCCAGCAGCCGCGCATCGCCCCCGCGACCTCAGAGCGCAAACGGCTCATCCGACCTCTTCCTGAACTATCTCGACACTCCAGGCAGCGCCAGCGAAACCCAAGACCCCAAGGATGCGGGGGGCCTGGACTGGCACGTCGAAGGCCCCGGCCGCAGAGTAGGCTACGACGACCTTACCGCTATCGACTGGATCTTTGAATACGCAAAGGAGCGCCAGCGCTTGAGGTATCTGTACGCTGGCGCAAGCGGCATCTTGGGACACGTGAAGCAACTTGCAGATGCTAGTCAAGTCTGGATCATCTTGGTCGCTGCCGGTATCCTGAGCGGAGGCATTGCGGCATTTATCGACATTGCGAGCGACTGGCTTGCCGACCTCAAAACGGGATATTGCCACAATGTGGACGGCGACGGGCGATTCTATCTGAACAAGGCCTTCTGCTGCTGGGGGATTAGGGAAGCGCAGGCCTGCCATGATTGGAACTCATGGGGATCTGCTTTGGGCATTGGCAGCGCTGGTGGGAGATATGTTATTGAATACATCATCTTCAGTCTTCTTTCAGTGAGTAGCAGCGCAAGCTGGCTTGGGACATGGCCAACTGACAGCCACTAGGTACTATTTGCCGCATGCGCCAGCATCCTGGTTCGCGAGTTTTCGCCCTACGCCAAACAGAGCGGTATACCTGAAATCAAGACCGTTCTGGGTGGCTTCGTTATGCGACATTTCTTGGGTGGTTGGACGTTGGTTACAAAGACAATTGGCTTGGTAGGCAACTGGTGTCAAAGGACTTTTGTTGCAACCGCTAATCTGTTCAGTGCCTTGCAGTCGCATCGGGCCTCTGGCTGGGCAAGGAAGGCCCACTGGTGCATGTAGCATGCTGCTCAGCGAACCTCTTCATGAAGCTGTTTAGTAGCGTAAACGGCAACGAAGGTTAGCGGCAAACACACTCGTTTCCTGTTGCCATGCACTGACTCGAGCAGCACGAAAACGAGAAGTCTTTTCAGCTGCGGCGGCGGCAGGCATTTCAGTTGCCTTTGGTGCACCTATTGGGGGCGTCCTGTTCAGCCTCGAGCAACTCTCCTACTACTTCCCGGACAAGACCATGTGGAGCAGTTTTGTATGCGCCATGGTCGCCGCTGTTACGCTACAAGCGTGCAACCCATTCCGCACTGGTAAGCTGGTCCTTTATCAAGTCACCTACCATAGCGGGTGGCATGACTTTGAGATTTTGCCCTTCATCTTCCTCGGGATTCTGGGTGGCTTGTTTGGAGGCTTCTTCATCAAACTCAACATGGGCGTTGCCGAGTGGCGCAAGAACCGGACATACCTCAAAGACTCTGTCAAAGAGGTCGTCATCGTTTCCCTGGTGACGGCGTTTATCAACTTTCCGATCAAGTTTATGCGCGCTCAGGCGTCAGAACTGGTACACATTCTGTTCGCTGAATGCGCCGATCTCACTGAGGACACGCTGGGCCTTTGCAAATCCGGCAAAGCCAACACAGGCGTGATTGCGCTGTTGCTTGTATCTTCAGGATTAGGCGTCATACTATCAAGCTTTACATTTGGACTGCAGATTCCCGCCGGCATCATTCTTCCCTCCATGGCCATCGGCGGTCTCTTTGGTCGCGCAGTCGGGCTGTCCGTGCAAGTGGTCCAGGCTGCCTGGCCATCTTTGTTCGTCTTCCAGTCCTGCGAGCCTGACATAGCCTGCGTAACACCAGGGACGTATGCCATTATTGGTGCGGCATCGGCCCTCGCAGGCACGACGCGCATGACGGTGTCGATTGTTGTCATCATGTTTGAGCTGACCGGGGCTCTCACCTATGTCTTGCCCATCATGATTGCGGTCATGATCAGTAAATGGATCGGTGACGCAATCTCGCCACGCGGCATCTATGAGTCGTGGATACACTTCAAAGAGTATCCGTTTCTCGATAATCGCGACGACAACGGTAGCTCGATCCCAGACGTTAGCGCAAGCCATGTCATGACGCGCATCGAGGACTTGACTGCAATAACTGCTACTGGGCACACGATTGGGTCGCTACGTGAACTCTTGTCGCAACATCGGTTCCGTGGGTTTCCCGTGATTGACAACAGCCGCGATGCTCTGCTGCTCGGCTATATATCCAGGACAGAACTACAGTATGCGCTCCAGACAGCCCGGACGCCTCCGCGAAGCCTGCCTCTCGAGACGGAAGCATTCTTGGCCCACCAGCCGCTCTCGGATCCTACCACTTCGCTCGACCTCCGGCCGTGGATGGACCAGACGCCCATCACACTAAATGCCAAAGCCAGCTTCCAGCTTACCGTGTCCATGTTCCAAAAACTGGGACTACGCTATGTGCTGTTCACGGACCGAGGGACGCTCAGAGGACTGCTCACCAAGAAGGACGTTTGGTACGTCATGGAAGGCATGGACGAAGAGCGCGAAGAGGGTGGCGCCGGTAGAGGGGGGGTGCGGGAGGGGGGAGAGGAGCCTGAAGACAACGAACAGAGCGACCTGCTGGGCACACCAGAAGAAGAGCGGGATGGCTTCATTGGTGCACATGGTAGATAGTCGCCCCAAATTGAGTCTTGACACCGTGGCTAGCACCATGTCTGCCGGCAGCCTCGAAGAGCAGGACCCGGCCTTGCGTTGATCGTCATGTGATGATATCACCGCCTCTGGCGCATGCGGTGTGCGGCCACGACCCCAGGCCATGGCTCGTTGGGCAAGTCGGCCGGCGCCAGGACGGTCAAGCAGAACAACAGGCGACTCCTCACCGACCCCGACACACTACTCCAGATGCATCATCTCGGCCTCGGACCTGCGCGCGACGTGTCTCGACAGAGTTTGGAGCGCGGAGAGTGGATACAGAGATGCAATGCCAGCTGCATGACCGGGGCCGTGCGGCGCCAAAGGGCGGCCGGCCAATCACAGCCGCCTGTGTGTAGGCTGCCGGGAACGGCTTAGCGCCGTGGCTATGCCGCGGCTTCCTGCTTGGACCTGCATGGACCCGCCCTTAACAACCGGCGACTTCGCCCATTCCGACTCTAGAGCCTTCTCTTCCCCCCCCCTCTAGTCTTTGACGAGAGCTTTGTTTTGCCTCAGCGTCCTCGACCCTGCCTTTGGCCCAACAACAAAAACACTGTGAAAGAGCACGGATCTGCACCCCCCCATGGACGCCTCGATCGCCTAACGTAAAAGAAGCACGGAGCGGCTATGACTAGCACTTGGCATACGTCGCGAACCGGCAGACGACGTCTATCGCGCTGAAAGAACACCAACACTTGCACGCGATAGCGAAGCCTCGCCAATCATCTTCGCCAGATCTGCATCCCATCCTGAGCAGCCGACACCATGGCCCACGCCACCGAGACGGAGCGGAGGAGCAGAAGGAAGCACTCGCGTTCGTCATCAAAGAACCCAAAGACGCGATCCTCGTCCAAGAGGGCACATGCATCGCCTTCGGTGCAGAATCTGTACTTGCAGGACTATGCTCCGCCCGTTCAGGCGACGTCACAGAGCCCCCCTCCCCAGTATACACCAGTCCAGCAGCCATATCCCCAGCCTGCCACACGCTTTCCACAAGCACCACAAGCACCACAAGCTTATTCTGCAAGCCCGCCTGAGCATCCCACCTACAGTCGCATGCCTGGGGCCTTTCCCCAGGACGTACCTCGATATTGCTCTTCTCCGCCTCCGCCTGTTCAGCCCTACGCCAGCCAATCAACTATCCGCTTTGCTTCCCCGCCCCCTCACGAACCCCGTGGTCAGGGGCCTTTTCAGCAGCAGTGGGACAGCCTTGACCGCATGGCCACAAAGTCCTACACGAACCTCCGTGACGCAGCTGGAAAGAGTGCGAGCAAACTAACTACGACCTTTATTGAGCGGCCCACGGCTGCTGTTGTCACAAAGAGCATGCAAACGTTGTGCCGCGGGGCAGCGCTTTACGATATGCTTAGCTCAAAATTTGATACCTTCATCACTGACATGGACGACGAAAAGTTTAGCGGGAAAGAGCAGGATTTGATGATGGATTTTGATGACCAGGAGCAGGAGGAGATTGCAAATACAAGCCCGCCGCTCTGTGGAGGAAGACGTCCGGTTCGAGAAGAGGTTCATCCCAAGCCCAGCAGCAGCAAGGGGTCAAATCACTTCTCGAAGGTATGGCTCTACTCAAATTCACGACTGCCGCCGCATCTGCCCCCTTTCAAGGTGTATCTACCGACGTATCCCTTGCTGTGCTTGGCGGCAACGTACTCTGAGAAGGCGTACATTCCCCCTGGCAGCAAGAAGAGCTCGGAAATGGAGACGCACATTCCTGCCGACTGGCGTAGTGGTACAAAAGCCATGGTGCTCAAATCCATACCTGTGGAGGAGCTCAACACCATTGTATTTGCTATTCGCGGGAGCCAGACGTTCATGGACTGGGCCGTCAACTACAACTCGGCGCCGAGCAGTCCCAGCAAGTTTCTCGACGACCCTGGGAACTTGTGTCATGCAGGCTTCCTCTATGTTGCCAAGAAGATGATCAAGCCGGTCGCGGAACGGCTCAAAGTCCTGCTTCAGGAGAACCCCGCTCGCTCAAACTGCAGTCTGCTCATCACCGGCCACTCCGCGGGCGGAGCCGTCGCCGCGTTGCTATATGCACACATGATGAGCACCAAGATTCAGTCTGAACTAAATTACCTTACCAGCTTTTTCAAGCGCGTGCACTGCGTTACTTTTGGTGCACCGCCCGTCAGTCTGCGGGCACTCAAGAAGCCCGAAGACCAACGACACAGGAAGAGCCTTTTCTACAGCTTCATCAACGAGGGCGACCCGATTCCGAGAGCCGACAAGGGCGTCCTCCGCAGCTTGTTGAAGCTGTACGCCAGTCCTGCACCGGCCCCGGCGTCGACCCTGGGTTCATCAAGTGGCTCCACATACAGGTCGCATTCATCTTCGCCGCCCAAGTGCAAGTCCAAATACGGCCTTTCCTCACGCCTCGCCAAGCCATCGAAAGCGTCGTTGCAGACCAACAACACCAACTCGACCTCTTCGTCGCTTCCAGCGTGGCCGATCCCTCCATGCTCCTTGTCTCCTGCTGGCCGGCTTGTGGTGCTGCGACAGAGAGTTGGCACGACACATGAGGATGACGTGGAAGCCGTGACTGTGGATGAAGATATGTTGAAGAACATTGTGTACGGCGATGTAGCCAAGCACCAGATGGCTGTTTACAAGAAGCGGATTGAGGAGGTGGCTGTCCGGGCAGTTACCGCCAACGGGTGCTGAAGACACAGATATGGAAATTGACGATGGGATTACAGCTTATGGCTGTGGCTGCTGGGCCAGTCCGCTCTCTCTCTGCGTTACGAAACGAATGCATGATGATTTGAGTATATACCAACGAAATCAATGACTTGTCTTTACTTTGGTCATGGTGAAACTGCTGCTCTTTGGACGTATGTTTGAGTGATTGAAATGGGACTATGTTCTGCTTGAAGCGGGGTCCCGCAAGCTCAAAATTATCTCATTCCATTCTCCTAAGCCTGCCTATGCACGTATTCATACAAGTTGTTTCGTCTTCCCCAGCCAAGTCTACACACGACGACGATGCAGTCTCCATCTACGCCATGGCAAAATCATACGCCGTCTTCGCGCTCATAAGCACCATAGCATAATGCGCAATCAAGCCCAGCGCACCATAGTACCTTCCCGCGCCGCCCGTCTCCGCCGTCCGAGTATACCCAATCGCATACAGGACCCTATTGGCGCTCCACGCGGCTCCCAGCACCGCCGTCGCAACAGGGTACTTGAGGCCTGAAATCAGCATGGCGCCCACGGCCGTGGCGTGGTTCTCGTTGAAGTTCTGGTGCGCGCGCTGCGCCGCGTTGAAGGCCAGCATGGCGGATTTGGAGCCTGGCGCCGCCGTCTGGACTTGTTCCCACGACGCGTATTCGAACGGATACGGGATCTTGGCTGCTTTGCGGAAGCCGCCCACGCGGCCGCCTAGCCAGGCGCCGATGAAGAAGGTTGAGACGGCCGCCGAGAGGACGTAGCTGGTGCGACCTGTTAGTGGTGGGCGTATGCAAGTATGTGTGTGTGTGTGTGTCAATGGAGGAGCGCAAGACTGCCGTGTACGTAAAAGTACAACCCGCAATTGAAACCATTGAAGCCATTGGAGCAATTAAAAAACCTACCCATAAGACTCTGGGATCTGGAAACCAGCCATTGTGTCGCGAGGATTGCTGTGAAATTGAGGGGGCGGGGTCGTGCGGTGCGAAACGTGTGTTGCTGTTGTGATGTATATGTGTCTGTGTCTGTGTTTTGTTGTCTGGGGGCGGCTCGGCCCTTTTTATACCGTACCGTACCTTACCTTAACCTAAGTAAGTACCCAACCTATCTACTGTTCCTTCTACTCTGCCCAAACGACTAGCGGCTTCCCCTATAACACACGGCTTAGAAATCAATGCGACACACCCCACACCCCTTGATCAACCATCGGTCGCAGGAGACGACGCAAAAAAAGTAATTATTTCAAGGCTGCCAACTTTTTTTCCTTCAGGAGTTAAGCTGTGCACTGGACCAACGGACGAGTTTCAGCGGGGCGCCCGAAAAGAGGCGTGCGCGCTGCCGGCCTGTGTGCATGGTTGAACGTCCCACGTCCCGTTTGCGCGCTACGAAAGCTGTGTACCCAGCGCGAGAAAATGGTTGCCTTGCGTTATCGAGGGCTGGCGGTGAGAAGTCGGGAGGGGGGAAGCCGTGGTACGGACTAAAGCTTGTGCGAGGGGGGCATTGACGTAACTAAGTGTCTACGTTGGATGGGTGGTGGTACGCCTAAATGATGGCATTTTGAATCTTTGATTGGCGTTTGGTCTCGCAAAAGATGTATTACATGTTCTTGTGGTTGAAGAGAAGGAAAGAAGGAGAGGAAAGAAGAGTGAGATTCGCATGGTAGGTATGTAGTTTGTGCTTGGGGATTACTCATTGGTGCAAGTTTGCATGTCGTGCTTTGGTGACGGCATTGCGACAAACTCTCCGTAGGGCTGCTTTGGACCACGCTCAAAGGCCGTGAAACCATGCGGACGAATATAAAGGCTGTCGGATCTGTTGCACCGCATGTGTGGCGTCTTAGGCGTACGTCTTGTCCGACACATGCACATGTGTGGCTGTTATGCCTAGCCTGGCTTCCACTCCCGTAAATAACTCTCAATACATGGCTGCCTTGCTTTACATTCCTTTTGTACCCGTGATGCCCGATTCCTCCAGTGCCATCATGGTCCCTTGGATGTCCTACTGCATATCAGCTCTGTCCCTTGATAATACTCTACGCAGCAAAGAGATGACTTACCGGCAACGCAGCAACCAGACAAACAACGTTGCCCGCCACGAAAACAGCCAGCGAGACAAGTGCCTGGACAAGCAGCAACTTGAAGCGTGCCCATATATGACCCCTTGACACTCCCGTGTAAAGAGAAACTAACGTAATCGGCGCAGCAAGCACAGTCTGCAGGATACCACGGCACTTTGCTCTCAGCCGCAAGAAGCCAGCACTGTGATTGCTGTGCTGAAGTCCGTCGCTAGGCACGTCGATGTGTAGTTCCAGGCCCCGAATGATGCATAGAAGAATGACAGCAGCCGCCATGTGGAGAGGAGTGTGATATCTCTGTGCAGCCGCGCATTCCAGACCTCGATCACGCAGCCGGCTGCACCGCCGCCGCACATTGCGGTGTGTCACCCACATAGGTACCATGGCCCGCGCGACATGGATGACGAGCGAGGTTATCATGTACTGTGTCAAGAGGAAGAGAAGGGAGTGGAATGCTGCTTTTGCAACGACAAGCGTAGGCGGAGATGTGCGGTTGCAGCGAGCGAGGGTAGCTAGGACACTCGTCTTGGGACGCTCAGTCGCGCCGTTGATCATGCGGTAGTTGTATGGCTGGCAGGCTCGGCGGCCGAGCCAGATGCAGAAGGTCTCGTAGAGGGTGGAGAGAATAGCGAGCACAAGCAGGGACATGAGGGCGTTGTTAATGGTCGAAGTGCATGTCAGTGCTATGTATAGGACGGGATCTGGAGCACCACAAGTCAGTTGTAAGTACCACTGCGACAAAAGTTCATCTAACATACCATCGTGCCATAGATCAGTCCATACGGATCGTGTAGACACATCTTGTCGCGCCATGGTGGTTGAGAGAAGTCAGTGTACGGGGTTGAGTACAGATGAGTAAGTAGAAAATAGATTTGGTTTTCGCTTTATAGAAAGAACAGGAAAACAAGACCCTTGACACGCCCTACACCTCCCTCAGATTCACCGTCATTGCATCATCCATGTCACATTCACATTCACTCTACTCGCTCATACATGCAAAACCGAAACTTGACGCCCTCCTCCTCAATCCCATCCTCGGGCACCTCTTCACCCGTGAATTCCCGCAGCTCATGGGCACTCGCATTCCTCCACGTCGTTGTCTCATCCAGGTTCAAGGGGAAAAACGTATCGCACTCAAAGTCGTGCTCAATCTTGGTCAGCAGCACGCGCTTCGTCTGCGGCAGCTGCAGCGCCGTGTCGTAGATGCTCGCGCCGCCAATAACATAAACATGGTCAATTTCGAGGTCGGGAGACGGCAGACTGCTCTTGTCTGGGCGCTCGAGCTGGGCAAGTGCGTCGAGGATGCCCGAGCACGTTATGGGCCCTTCGACGTCGGTCTTGGTATCCAGCTGGCTAGCGAGCTCCTCGGGCTTGGACGTAATGACTACGTTGATGCGGTCCTTGAGCGGGCGGAACTTGAAGGGGATGCTTTCCCACGTCTTGCGGCCCATGAGCACAGCATTGATTTTCCTACACGCGTCGTCGACGGGGGCCGAGGGCGTGGTCCGCCTGGTTACGCGGGCGAAGAAGCCCATCTCCTTCTTGAGCAGCGGCCATGGCAGCGTTCCGGCATTTCCTATGCCGAGGCTGGGGGTAGCGGCGAGGATCAAGGTGAGTGTTGGCGGCCTGGGTGGCATGGCAGATGGGTCCTGGTCCTCGACGAGCTCAAGTTGGGTGGGTGCAATGGCCGGCTCCGGATTGGCAGGAGGCTGCTCGTCAGACATTGCGTCGCGGACTCGGCAGCGACAGACAGGCCTGGGCTGATAATGGGTGAGACTGGGAAATTTTGTGTTGAGACGAAAATAGCCGGGCGACGACTGGGGGGGCGGCCGTTGCGTCAGCGTGAATGGCAGGCGGGGCGCAAACGCGCTAAGCAACGCGAAGGAACGTGATGTCCACGTCCTCTCTCCCTCTGGCCGAGTCTCGCAGCAGCGTGCCAGCTCATCACCGCGAGTCATTGCTCCCCCGTCCCAGCATCCGCCGTCACTTTGCATACGACTTGACATTCCCGTACGAAGACGCAGAGGTATAAATACACAGGCGGCAAGGCCCTTGGTCATGCACACAAAATCCAACCCCGAAAAAACGCACGGTGACAGGCCGACACATACACAGCGCGCATCATCCCATCGTGCCCGGTTCCCAACCTGTTCCGCCCGCCGCCACCGGCGACGACACACATACTGAACGCCTAGACAATTACACCTTCGCAATGCCGCTACCCAGTCAAACATATTTGCATGAATAAGTAAAAATCCCGCGTAACCCGTTTCATACAACGTCATCTGTGTCTCGCCGCCTTCTCAATGGGTATCTTTTTACGATTGCTCAAAGCGCGCCGCGGAACACAAATACGTCAAGCTCCTCCACATGCCCACATGCTCATCTTCGTCTGGGAGGGGGCATGCAATCCTATTCGCTCTCGCCCCCCTCCACACTGCTCTTGAGTGGTATCGACAGTGATATCTTCTTGGGTGTCCCGCCGCCATCCTTGCCCGAGTTTACATTGGGCGACTTGCGGCGCAGATTCCTCAGGCTTCCAGAGCTTGCGTTGCTCGACGTCGAGGCGCGGCGCTTGGGTCCCGCAGATGTCGAGATGCTTGCGAGGAGCTCGTCCTCTTCGTCCTCCTCTCTGCGGCGCTTTTCCGATATCCGTTCAGGCGGTGATCCTGCCGAAGTCGTCTTGGGCGATGTAGTCGTGTCCTCTGGAGTTTGTGTTGCCGTCGGCATCTTGGGGGCAGAGGCTGATGATACCGTCGCGAGATCGTCCATGTCTGCATCGTCCGCATCGTCATCGGGATAGTTGACGAGCGGTCGCACTGGCGACGCTCCGTTCATGCAGAGCTTGCCCGCGGCGGTAAGCTGTTCATCCTCGTCGTCCGATGTATTGAAGTACGCCTCTTCGTCCGCATCCACATCTTTCAAGCCTTGACCCCACTTGCCACCGTTGATGTTTGCGGGATGTCGCACAGAAGTGTCGCTGTCCACGCTTGTAAAGGAATTGTCGAGCTCCTGCGTCGTCACTGGCTCATGGTTCTGGTCGTATTTGAGGATCAGGTTCTGGAACGTGTCGACATAGGTGATGCCTTGCAGCTTGTCTCTGTACTTCTCGACCAGATGTTGTACAATCATCTTGATGTTCTCGCGTCGGATGAATTCAAAGAGCTCCAGGCATGCCGAGTTGAGGAGGTTGTCGCGTGGCATTGTATCGAATAGAATCTTCAGAATCGGGTCAAAAAGTTCATGCTGGATGATTTGGCGGTTATGTGTTTCGTCGTGGAAGCCGAGCACAGTACGGAAATACTTGAGTGCAGCTAGAACACGTCAGTAGGTGGCAGGCAAAAGGGCGTGAACAAGACTCACTGAGTTTCAGATGCTTCTCAGGACAGCTCATGAGCTGGGCCACCCGTACCGCCAAGCCTTCAGAGAGGATAAAGTATTTGCTGCGGAAGGAATGCTGGCGGATAAAGAAACACAGAACCTCGACGAGGTGTGCGTATAATGACACTTCTTGCATGGATAAATCGTCCACTGTACAATGTTAGCTACGGCAGCACACGCAAAGCAAGTATCCAACTTACTCGACTCCCGGCCCTCGAGGTCCTTGAGCGGCTGGAAGAGTTTCCGGGCGGATTCGTCGTAAAAGTTTTGAATAAACGAGTCGGTCTGAGGTATGGACGGAAGCTGTCCCCGCATCTTGGCGAGGAAGTCACTGTTGGTTCGGCCAAGCGCTTCTATCGATGCCGAATTCGCATTGGGGTCAAGTAGGATCTTGATGGCATCAGCCATCTGCGCCTTGACGCCCAAGTCCACCTCGATCAGAAGCAGCTCAATGAGGGTGTCTGTGAGCGGCTTCGTCTTTTCTTGAATGGCCTTGAAAATGTAGCTTCGCACCATGAGAGCGTCGTGGTCAATCAACGACACCAGTATGTCCGTTCCTGCCACTCGGACTGAAGCGTCTTGGTGCTTGAGCGCGAATTGTATCACTTCCAGCAGACCGCTGCTGATGAAGTTTTGGTAGAGCTGCGCCCTCACATTTGCCTGCAGGCTCTTCGCAATGGCGCAGCATTGTTGAATGAACAAGACGGCGTCCTTTTTCCGTGACAGATTTTGCTCCTTGGGCGAAAAGATGCCAAAGAGCTCTTTGAGGAAAGGAACGTTTGCTTGGAGGTGTTGGACAATGTCGACTTGGTGGAAGAATATGAGAGAGTTGAGAACGCTGAAGGTGGGGTCGTCGAGGATGCGCGCGAGAACAACATCCTTGAGGTACTGCAGGCGATATGTGTAGTGGATTTTGCGCTTGATGTTGTCGTCTTCGATCCTGACCACCTCTTTGAACTTGGACTCGTCGTCGAGGTACTGCCGGTGGTTGGCTTTATGCAGGGGAAAGTCCGGGTCGTCTGTGTCATGTCAGTAAGCTTGCATGCAAGGGATCGCGTGCGCCAGCACATACACTCTAGCGCCCCAACGACACCCAGAACCACAGGGTCCGTCACAACGTATTCGATAATGGCGGTGTCGTTGAGCAGAATAAGCATCTTCATGATGCTGCACAGCCGGTGGAGATCCGATACGCTTTCGAGGTCCTCGGCCATGTCGACGAGCGGAATCAGCTTCGGTATGTAGTCCTGGGCCAGTATGAACTTGGCCAGGGCTTCTCGGCCGCCTGGGGTCGAGTTTGCAGCGCGCATGTGATTCTCAATTTCGTGAAGGTTGCTGAGATCTGGGTTGGGGAGCAGGATGGGGCTAATGGGGTCCAAATCGTCTGAGAGACCATCGTCTGTGTCAGCATTAGCTTGCTGGAAGCTATGGGGGAGGAGTCGACGTACCCTGAGCTAGTGCCTGCAGTCGTGATTGCACTTCGTTGACAAAGTCCCTGTCCTGCATCAGCGCCCTTGGTCCACTGCTGCTAGCGGTGCCAGTCTGTGCTCACCATATGCTAGCACAGCCCTCGGGTTCCTGGAAGCTGAGGGCCATGTCGGTGCCATTTTGCTCGGTCCACACGATGAGGGTGTCTGGGGCGAGGTTAGCTGGCGTGTCGTGGTCGCGAGGGGGGAGGCGCAAGTGAGGCGCGCATACCCTGCTGCTTCTGATAGCCGTCATCCTTGGAGATGCGCGTTTCAAGCAGCTGTCGCGACTGGTCTTCCTCGGACAGGACTACGATTCTCGCTTCCTCCTGCTGCAGAAGCACACGACGAGTTAGCATAGACGCATGGTACGAGTGGGCGCGGGCGCAATGGCGCAAGCAGGGCGCGGCATGGTGGTGGGAAGGGGGGAGGGTTCGACGTACGCTTGCTACGACGCCCTTGCAGAAGCCAGTGCCTCGGTCGAACCAGTCATTGTTCTTGAGCTCGTAGACTTTGACGCGCTTTCGTTCGCTCGCAGGTGGCGGCGTGACGTTTGCCATAACCGGCGGCGGCGTGTCGACAGTCTCCGGCTAGGGCAGGGGACCCTCCGGAGCGAGGCGCGCGGTCGCGAGGGCTTGCGCAGTGCGGCGTGGGTAATTGGCGGCAGAGGGGTGCGGGCGTCGGGGATGGGGGGTCGATGGCGATGATGGGGCGGGTGGATGTCAGAGCAGAGTGTCGTGTTGGCGGATGACGATTAGGAGGGCTCGGCGGCGCTTGCTGGGCGGCGGGCGCAGCGTAGGCGACGCGACACGGGGAGAGACGACGACGGGGAGGCGCCTCTGCGCGCGCAAGCAGCAGCAGCAGCAGCAGCAATCAAGGACGAGCAGCGATGGCGGGCGTGACGGGGGGAGGGTGATCGGCCTCGGATACTTTTGCAGGCGCGTCGTGGGTCGCAAAGTCGAAGCGGGAGAGCACAGGGCCGGGCGGGCTTGGGCACAGTGCATGCACTAAGATAAGAGAGCCTAGACCAGCTGCCTCGACCACGACCACGACCACGACGGTGGCGGCACCAGAGCCTCAACACCACGCTGAACCCGGGCGAGGAGGCGGGCGAGGGCGAGGGCGAGGGCGAGGGCGAGGGCGATGGCGATGGCGACGGGCGCGGTTGCGGGGCAGGCGGACGGGCGGACGGGCGGGGTGAGGGCGGGCTCATGCAGCAGTCGGTGTCGATGGACAGCGTGCGCGGCGAGTGTGCGGGGCCATGCAATGTGTAGAGAGCTGAGAGGGCTGTGGGTGGTGAGAGAGCGAGCGAGTGAGGGCGCGAGGGCGGGCGAGGGCGGCGAGGGCGGCGCATCCTCTTGGCGCCTCACCACCACGCTGCCGACACGCGCTGTCACTGCTGTATACAAGACCTACACTCGCCCTCGCCCTCGCCCTCGCCCTCGCCCTCGCCCTCGCCCTCGCCCTCGCCCTCGCGCTGGACGCAACGGGCAGCGACACATGGTTCACGTGCGGCTATGCTCCCGAACCCACCCACACCCACACCACACGCCGCGACGGCCATGACATCCACCCCCACTGCTAGCACAGCACTAACTCACTAACCGCCAGCCAGATGCCCTGGCCAGCAGGGACAAACGACTCCAGAAAGCATGTGCCAGTCGCTACATGGACAGGTCAAGGCCCATGTAACCAGCTGAGGGCTTACGTTTGGGGGAGGCGACAAGCACAAGCTCGTATTGCCAGAACCCCCCACGTCCATTCTCCGCCCCAGCATAAGCCGCGGAGCCAACCAGCCAGCAGCAGAATCGAGTCGTCACTAGCCACCATCACCATCACCACCACCACCACCACCACTATTCGTCATGGTGATGCAAATGAATCAGCGACTCCCCCAACCACCACTACCACCACCGCCAGAGAAGGCTAACTATAGAAGCGGCTGCTCGATGCACCCGCACCAGCACCGACAGCAGCCTACACCTAGTCGCAGTGTAGCCTTGCACACTTGAGCCACGACTACGACTGCACGGGGCGAGATATCGCACCACCGTCGACGCCCATTGCCGCATTCGCTCTCGGGAGGCTGGTTGCGCGGCCAGATTCACTCTCATTTCCCCCCTCCTACGGGAGCTGAGCTGAGCTGGCGGCCGCCAAGCAGCTCTGGCTTGTTATCTCTACCCTCGCTAACTCCATTCAGCCACTCCCTCTGCGCCTCGAAGATCGGGGCCATATCTGAGGCGCTAGAAGCAACGGCGCATGGTCAAAAACCCAGTTCCTACGCTAGCTACCCAAGCGCGTCCCGTCCGTCTGTTGAGACACAATTATCCACTATAGATTACAGTCAGAGGCCGCTCTCTCGACGTGCCTTGTCCAGGTCCGCTCCTGATCCTGATCCTCACCCGCTCGCTCCCTCTCTCCTACACCTCAATTGCCGGCAACAACAACAATGTCCAGTCTACCCCTGCTGAGCCCCGTCGACGACATTTCCACCCACCCTGTGCCTGCTGCGACTGCCCCCAAGCCACCAAGACCAATCTCCGCGCCTCCACCCAATTTTTCAAAGCCCATAGCTGCCGGCCCTTGCCCAGCAACCACGACCAAATCTGCCGACACGCAGGAATCGCAAAAGGGCATCAACCCTGCCAATCGAAAGTCGGTCGGCGCGCAAGAACTGCAGGCCAGGCTCAAAGAAAACCGCAAGTCGGTCGGTGCTCAAGAGGTCCAGGCCAGAATCCAGGCCGCAAGGAGGAGTCTGCCTGCCAGCCACCTGCTGTCCGAAGCTGCTCGACGTCAACTCGAACTGCCCTCGGACCTGATACACCCAGCCTTGCGCGCCAGGAGCGGAGTCACGCCCAATTTCGAGCGCTCTCGTAGCCTCAAGTCCAGGCCCCGCGAAGATCTCTCCATCGATGCGGTTATACGGCGCCTGTCGTCGGAAGTCAGTGCAGAGGCTGCTGGCAGCCATCTGAAGCTCTCGGGAGATGTGCCTCCTGTACCAGCGCTGCCTGCGTTCCCACCACCTGCCACTTCTCGTCCACGTCCTCACCAAACGGCAAGCCGCAGGTCTTCCATGACGACGCGACGAAGTCCGCTTTCCATTGTATCGTCTGCAGATGATGGTGTGTAGTGCATTGCTCTTGCTACAATCAATCTGAACTGACAATGGCAGACTCCGAAGACACCTCAGCGCACACTTCCAGACGAACTTCCACCTCTGCCTCTTCCCGTACGCGTCTCGCGCCCATGACAGGGATCTTGGACTAACATGCCAATCAGGAACCTCCAAATCCGACGAATCCAAAAATGGGGACGATGACACGCACGAAATGATCCGGGTAGTCAGTACGCTCGTGCAGAAAGCAGGGCACGTCAAACGCAAACACGAATCTGAACCCCGCTCGTCTTCTCAATCACCTGCCCTTGCACGCGCCAAATCGCAGCAAACCAAGAGCCGCCGCTCATGGCAAATTTCACGAAAAAGCATCCTCTGCTCTGTTTAACGACCGCATTGTCCACCAGATCCGTTTCCTTTGTCCGTCTACATGGCCATGGGCGCCACATACCACATTTCTTTTTACCGTAGATTTCGCATTGATGCCGGCGACGGAGGCTTGAGACCTGTCGAGCCGGTTTCGTTCCTGCATTATGAGCGTGTTGGATTCGAGCGTTTACATTGACCCAAACAGCGGCGGCGTTCAGGCGTTCCATTCCCAATCTTGTCGTGGGCGTTATCACTAAGCATGCAGTCTTATCAGCCTTGAGACGTAGCTAATACCTAGAGGAGCAAACAATGTATGTATATTTCGGCCTTGTTGCACCGCTTGCATTGCCTCGGTGACACGATGCATGGCTCCAGGGTGCTAGCAACAGCGCAATCAGTAATCTTACGGCGCAATTACAGATACCGTCGCAGCTAGAGGCGTGGTATCAGTGCGGATCCACTGTTCTGGAAGAGGGCTGTTAGACCAATTCTGCACGCCGCACGCCGCACGCCACACACGGGACGCCTTCCGAACCCAGTTATCAATAATAGCAGTCGGCGTTAGGCAGTATGGCCCCGGGCCAATGGCAGCGCCCGTGGCCTTGCAGCCGACGCCAACTGGGTTAGTCGAGGGTGAGATTAGCTGCGGCGTTCCCGGAACTACTACGACCACGCCCAGGTCAGCCAGCCATCCACAGCGGAACGTGCCTCGGGTCGCTATCTGTAACCGAGCGCGTGGGTACGTGTCAAAAGGGACAGAGTGGCGGCGGCAGATGGGGGGGGGATACATGTATAGGCTCAAATGCTGGTGTACCACGACAGATGCCGGAGCGAAAAAGCAATACAGCGCTGCTGCGTGGGGGTGCACCTTGGGTCAAGACTGGCACTGGTACGCGTGCCTGACGATCGCGCGCCTATCAATTCTGCGTGGGCTGCGCGACCCGCTGACCGTCCGCGAAACGTCCCGAACTAGGCATTCTCTCTCTCTCTCTCTCTCTCTCTCTCTCTCTCTCTCTCTCTCTCTCTCTCTCTCGCTCGCTCGCTCTCGCTCGCTCTCGCTCTCTGCCATGGCCGCCTCTAGACTCGCAAGTAGTCCACGTCGCTCTGGCGAGTTTGCAGCCGAGTCAGGCGCAAACTCTGCCTTGGCTTACTGCATACTTCCAAGGACCGGGTCGACGTAGTTGGCGCCGAATGGATAGTGCTATTGTCAGGGAACAAGCGGATTAATTCTACGGTCCCAGATTCGCGACACACGGGAGCGCAGCCGAAGACGTCACGGCATGGCAGAGTCGATAGCGCGTTGCGAAAGCGAGGCCTCGGTAAACACGACCAGGCCTCCTAATTCGAAGTGCGGCATCTCCAAAGAAATGCCGCTTGGCTCCAAACAGCCGTGGCGCTGACACCAGCGCGAACATCGCGCTAGCCCGCGCACAGGCCACGCGCATCGCCAGGGCCCCGTGTGAATCACGGCTGCATGGGCCATGCGGTCGCTTATCGATAAGACAGGGAGCTTGCAAGCTAGACCTCATTGCTGCCACTCTCTGCTCGTCCCTTCGCCTGCCGTGCGCCTTACTCCGCCATGAACCCGTCCGAGCGCACCAAGGAAGCGCTTCTTGGTGAGTGTCTCCAGCCTGCACTGCGCCTGCAATTCCTTGAGTCGCGCACCTGCTGAGCCCGCGCCCAGCCAAGACCGAAGCACTATGTACATCGATTGTGGATAATCGCAAGGACGATCCCTGGGGCGGCGATGGCTACCTGTCCACCATCCTGCGTACGGTCAAGATGCACGAGGCTACCGACTACTCGTCGGTGCACAACAAGACGGAATTCGAGCCTGCCCTCGACTTCTCGACGTCTGCACACAAGGAGCTCTTGATCAAGGAACAGACTGCGGCACTGGTACGTCACATGAGCTTTACCAGTACGCCATTTGGCCGAGCGTTAATACCCCACAGATCAAGACTGCGCAAGAC